TTTTTCCCCCTATTAGTTCAGCAGATCTTTTTTTTATAAAAGATTTTAGTTATTTATTTTTAGAAATAGGGCAAGGGAGGGAGAAAGAGAGGGAGAGAAACACTGATGTGTGAGAGAAACATCGATCGGTTGCCTCTCGCACGCCCCCGGAGGGGACCTGGCCTGTGACCCAGGCACGTGCCCTGACAGGGAATCAAACCAGCGACATTTTGGTTTGCAGGATGAGCTCAACCCACTGAGCCATACCAGTCAGGGCAGTTTAACAGATCTTAATAGTATTTCTACCTGCAATGAAACTATCTCCAAAATCCTGAGTTGTCATGGTATTGCAGTAGGAGGGAATGTAGCCATTGGCTGGAGGTGTCTATAGAAAAGCCTGGGTTTCTTCTGAAGCCTAAACTTGAGAGCAAATGTTTCCCCGCCTCTGGGGCCTGGGCAAAACAGGCCTTGTGAAAACTGCAGTAACATTAAGGAGAAGCAAGGAGCGAGGAAGTTAATATCTCTGGGTCCCTGTGACCGTGGAACAGGAGAGTGACTGAATCTCTCTGCCACTTTTGTCTTGGCCGCAGCCTTACGGCCATACACTGTTCTAAGGTAAGTCCCCTTGTGGAGGGACACATGCAAAATGACTAGCCTTTCAATTGAAGAAAAATATTTACTTCTTCCTACAAGTTTATCATACTGTCGACCTCTTTACGTGCAGCTATATCATTGATGTGAGTATGGTTCCCCATGAAAGTTTATCTGCCTGTGCTTCTGCTTTTGGAGTATATATCAAATACTCTTTGCTCCCCAAAAAGAATTTAATGACAAAGAAAGAGTAGAACATGGTGCTTAGAACGCGGGATCTACAGCCATTCTCCACAGTCCCCCTCGCTCTGCCGCCTGCTCTTTCTGGTTTTCTCATCCGTAAAAAGGGACAATAATAGCCCCCACCTCATCACGATTGCCGTGAGGGTGAGACGTGGTGATGTATGCACAACAACCCATTGCCTGGAATATCGTAAGCTCTGTAACGAGCGACTGCTAGCGACTGGCTCATGTTTTGGTTTATCCCAAGGCACTTCATGTAGAGATTGAGTGATTCAGTGAACAGTGAAGGCTCCGGTTGGGTGGGAGCTGTTGGTGTGAGGAGGCCAAGTTTGCTAGAACGGGAACAACAGGGCTAACTCACAACACCACATTCAACGGCATCGCTGTTTTGAGAGGGGGCAGCCATAGAGCAGCTGTCTGGCGGGGCGGGGGTCTCTTTCGTTGTCTCCTGTGTTCCTCAAGAATTGGATGTGGTTAGAGCGTCCCTGGAGTTTATGTGTGATATGCACGTAATAGCTACTCACCCCTTCCTACGAAGCCTGTGGATAGGCGCGGCTCCCCGAGGTTAAACTGAGACGGAGGCAGGCCACTGTCCCAAAGGAGAACTCCATCGGAGGCAGCCACTAGGCTTCCATGGTGGTGGCTCACGCTGTCCATCTGCCTTTGCCTCTTTTCCTGCAGCTTTTCAAAGGCCTTTCTTCCTCCTCTGTTCGTGAAGGTTCCCTCACAGAAATCTCAGAAGAGTTCAAGGGCGCTGCAAGGTACCTCATGGAGGGGGGTTCCTTTCCCAGGAGAGGGAGCTGCGGCATCGGGAAGACACATGGTAGCGGAGAAGGTTCCCACCCTCTTCGCCCCGCTGTCTGAGCAGTCTCGCGGTTTCCAGGCTGCCCCTCATGCTCAACTACTAGCCATGTTTGATAATGTTTGTCTAATACCAGTGCTCCAGGAAGTCCTTAACTTCATTCTCTTTTAACAATTATTTTTACTTTAATATGACTATTTGCATCTTACTTAAGTATTCCAGGGGTCTTTGTAATTCATGTGTTTAGCCAGCCTTTGTTTGGGAACAGCTTTATAAAAGGCATGTTTTTAATTTGGGAAAGTAGGCTAGGGTATCCTGTGCAATTCTCTGAAGGGAACATTTTTATTAGCCTATGAAATGCCTTTGACTTTGTGCTATTAAAAATGTGAAAAACACTTTTGCCTTTGGACTATATAATACAAAAATTTGCACTTGGGCATAAAATGTAGACTTAAAATGAGCTGACCTAAGAAGGCCGGTGCTGAACTGCTTTGCTTCTTTTGGAGTTTATTTGCCTCCCAGCATATTTTTCCCCTCCCTGTCCTATTCTTGCTTTCTCAGTTTTGTAAATTCTGACAATGTATGAGATTTGCAATTCCCTTGTGGCAACCTAGGCACATGCAGTGTTTGAAAGAAGCAGCAATATGAAACGTACTGCTTGGTAGGCAGTGCCAACTAGTAACATCTTTTGGTAAAAAAAAATTTAAAAAGATAATGGCTATTTCCACATGAATAGAAAATCTAGTTGCCTAATTAACTTCAAATCCTTCCAAACATCAAATACTGTGGGTATCTTATTTTCTGGGAGAAATCTTATTTCCAGACTTTTCCAAAACTGGCTTACAAGTGAAGTCAGAACAGAAATTGTTGGTATCAAAGGTCGTAAAGATGGGAAGAAGCAGCCTTTTTCACCTTCAGTGGACATATTGGGCTTAGACTAATATTTGTTTATGGAAAAATCTGGATCTCTGAGGTCCTGATTGTAACCATTGTTATTTTTTGTTTGTTTCTGCCAAAATAATTAAAGACTTTTACATCATGTATCAGGTTATTTGGATAATTATCAATTCTCTACTCAAATGTGTGTTGTGTGCTTATAGGTAAACTCAGGGAAAGCATCCTTAGTGGAATTTGGATTACTTTCTGTGTCTATTCTAAAATAATCACATATATAAATGATATTATTAGTGACAGGGATGAGCAGTTAAGTGGAACTGGATACCAAGTATTTCTATAAATCACTTAGATATCACATAGTATCATTATCTGGCCTGTATTTTCTGTTATCTTACCCACCCATCATCCCTCGAACCTGTTTACCTATAGAGCTGAGGCAGGGTAGATTGTCAGACTCCATGGGGATAGGTTTTCAATAAATGATCAAAATATAGTTAAATAATATAGCAATATTTCAGTAAACGTATGATATAGTGACAACTTCATGATTTTTTTCTTGGCATTTTAAGGTTTATAAAATATTTTACTTGTACATTTGTATAATATCCAAATATGTTAATATACTGTTAGATCATTACAGCAAAACATTGGGGAGGATATTATCTTTCTATCCATCTTATATTTGGAAAAGCAAATAAGTTAAGGAACTCACCAAAATTTACAGAGGAGATAACAAGAGTCATTAGAAAACTCAACCATTCTGACTTGCAAATTATGCTTTATTTTTTAAACATATTCCTCATATACTATTTAGGAATAATTTATAATGTTGTTGCATATAGCTTTTCTTGTGCATGCAATATTGCTTTCAGTGAGTACTTAGTGTACCTAATTTCTTTTGTTTTTTTTTCATTTATTTGTGTAAATCTACTTAATTGATCTTGAAGTTGTCTCCTGATTTTATTTAAACTTAGCTTTACTGTTTCAGTATGACATTTTAGGCTTATCTAGAAACCAGTATATGTATGTTTCACTAAAAGATAATCATCTTTTAAAGTAGTATTTATTATTAAGATAATATGAAAAATTGTGTTTTTATTTTGTGGACCCATAATACTCCTTACCATTTGAGAATATATATTCACATTCAGGCTTCAGATGGAGATATATCAGCCTTTCCCAATCTGCCTCCTATACCTCAGATAACCCACAACTCACATGTCACATGATATTAATAATATGCCAAAAACTGGATCCTTGGTTAAATTGGTTTGCAAACATTGCATGGGCTCCATCTCCCTTGGAGAGGTTTACAGAGGCCATTTGCATATTAAAGACTCTGAGAGGCCCTTCAGTAAAATAATAATACTGATGATACCATTAAACCAAATCTATTTTGTACACTTTGAAAAATACCAAAATATGTACAATGCATTACTTGGTTGAATTTATTAACAGATAGTGTTATACTGTGTCATCCATTAAGGTACAACCTAATACCACAAAAAGAAGCTCTCACCTCGCTCTTCCTCCCAAGTAATCTTGTCTTTGTTTGATAAAGGTTGTATGGTCCCATTCTAAACTTTACAATTACACACTGCAAACCAGGTTGTTCACAGGCTCTTCCCCACCACTCCCCCAGAAAAATGAAACATTATTTTTAATTGCTTTCATTTTCTTTTTCCTCTTTCCGTGATCTTTTAAATCTGCCGCCAGCAAAAACTCTTGATTCTTGATGTGACCCATCTCTCTTTGGGAGAAAGTTCTACTAAACCCCGTCTACTCTGGCCTCCCTCCAGACTTCACCCTTCAGCTCTGAGCTACTCACACACTCCTTCTTTGACATCTTAGCCTGGACTCTGTCAGGAAGCTCCTCTTTCTGTCCTGTGTTCAGTCCAAACCTACCCCCAGTTTTCTCTCATTTGGAAGAAAACACAGATGTGTGCCCACATGTAAATTCTCCTTCTGAGATAGTTAACATGGGGTCACGATAATATGGAACAATCCTTGCATCTCATCTGCGCAGCGTGCAGGTGCTTGCAAGACGGGTCCCTTCTGCAGGTCCGTATTGAGCCCCCTGGTAGACACCAGGGTTGGATGGCTGGTTGACCAGTCTACTCAGTTCTACACGGTGGGCTTTCAAGGGTAAGCTGATAAAAGAGGGTACAAATCGCCATTGTCTTTCACCTGAGAACCAGTTCCTTTGCATTCGTTCACAGGAAACCGTGCCTTTTCCTTGAGGTGTCAGTGTGACTCCGATGGCCAGGCAGAAAATGGCTATCGGGTTTCCGGCCTCTGCCAGATTTGGTTTCCAACCACTGTCAATCTTGGCCTTGCCACCACTTTTTTTACATCCCTCTAATACCGCTGGACTGTTTTGCATCTCCTGTGTGCCTCCTCAGCACCCATGGGTGATACTCTCTCTGTGTTGAACTGGTTTGAAGGACACCTGCCTCAATAGTAAGCCAGCAACTCTCTCTGCCCGCAGGAGTGCGTCTTGACAGAGTGCGTGGAGGCCGGCAGAAGTACAAGCGCAGAATAGACGCGGAGAACAGTCCCTACCTGAACCCTCAGCTGGTCCAGCCAGCCAAAAAGCCATGTAAGTACAGCGCGGTGTCTGGCCCCCGGTGGCTCTGTGTACATCAGTGCTGGCGTGCCCATCCCTGCCGACTCCAGCGGGGCTTGTCCCTGTTGGTGCGGGGCATGGCTCCATTCACGAAGGTTGCCTTTGAGGAGCATCAGCAACTCAGCTAATTATCTTGCCTAAGGTTTTCTCCCCCCAGCGCCTTGTCTTCACCCAGTCATTTTGTGGAAGCCTAAGCATATTAAGGCATAGCTTATATAGTGCGAATTTCCCATTTCCTGGTTATCTTTATTTTCAGAGGTACATAAAATGGATCATACTGTGATCATTAGTTCATTGGAGCTGTTCGTTTCAGATTTCACAAGAAAGTGATTCTTGTAGTTTTCGCTAACTAAATGAGTTTGACTGCTCAGCCTCCCAATGAAAATACATTAGGAGCCTCATTAATTTGGAGCTAGAGAAGGTTAACACTCTAGCTAGCAACAGACTACGACAAGAATGTGCCCTCCTAATAACAAGCACAGGTTGATGGTCCCATCTCAGATGCCCGCATGGGTGTTATGAATTGTCCCCAAAGAGCCCACGGTTTTAGAATGCCGGGATGCGATGTGAGAGGAGGGTGGCACATTGCCGGAATGCAAGCCCCGTTCTCTTCGCCATTAACTAAAAGGAGCTGGAATATAGACTGAGGCAATAACTGTATCCCATTTTCTGTAAAATCAGTTCACAGCGGTAGCGCAACAGAACTCGCATTTTAGGGTGTCTATGCAAAGAGTTCATATTGGGCGCGGAGGAGTGCTCTGGTGGGAGTAGCTCTCACATTGAGCCGCCTGTGTCTCAGAGGACACAGCCAGTGCTCGCCGGGGGCACCGCATCGGTAGCAGGTCTAGAGAAGACTCGGGTGTTTGGTTTGTTTTTTTTCCAAATCTGCTTTCAAGGGAAGAGAAAAAGTGTCCACTTTTAATTCGGATTCTCCAGGAGGGGTCGCTGCTGTGCACCATTCAGTGAGCATATGGGGATCAGTTAAATAAATAAAACAGACCCTGAACTGTAAACCAAAGGACATTTTAGCTATGTCAAAGGAAAAACAACCAGTTTTACATAAAATTAAAGCTTAAGTGAACATATGGCATAGTTTCCTCTTGCCTTTCCAAAAAACATTATGTTGATTATACCTTCAATTGTCCAATCTGGCATCATCTCCTCAGCCTGCAAAAGCAGTTTGGCATTCTACAAATACAATCTAGGACTGCATTAAGCAGATTTTGCACATTACAATAAAAAACTTTCTGATAATACAATACAATGCAATAAACACTAATGCTTAATTTCATTAGAGGTTTAGTTTTCCTGGATTCAGTAATATACAGAGTGCCCATCTCTCATTCATTTTATGCAAACATTGACTAAAACCATTGATAGCTTCCCCTCCTGGGAGGAAAAGGAGCACCAGCCCATGGTAGAGGGATGTCCAGGATTTTCTGTGTGAACCTGAGAAGTTGGGAAGTGGCTTGTCAAGGACCTTTAAGAAGATTACAGCAATTTCAGTGAGCTTCATCCATCTGAGATAAAGAGGGCTCCTAATAAATCATTGCTCATTATCTCAAGGCCTCTGTGTTAATTTTCCTGAGTCCTTCCAATTAGTGTGTTTTTGTAACAAACATTTATAAAACTTAATTTTCAGATCCCATCAGATAAGCGCAAGAGACCGTGCACGGGCCTTGCGCAGAAAGTGTCTGGGGGAGATTTCTGGATCCTGACTGATTGTGAGCTGCAAAAGCCCAGGCATGAAGATTGGGTTCTATTGATTCTAATTAGGGAAACGTTAAATAAGATTTACCTAGAAACAGTGCTGCTGGCTATTCCATTATCTGAATGATGGGGAATCCAAGCTTCAACCAAATTTCTCTGACCCATTGACTTGGGTAAAACATTTTTTCTGTACTAAATAAGAACTGGAATCAGGATTTCCTTCAGTTACATGCCCTTTTTCACTGCATTTTCTTCTAATCCTGCGAACCTAGTGGTTGATGACAGGTTTTGTTGCATCAACAGAGCAGTGGATGCTGAAACTTTCCAGAGCGTGACTGAACACAGAGGGTGTAGTTTCTACAGTGTAGACAAGAAACAAATGGTATTTTTTTTGCAGATCTTGCAAATTAAAAAAGAAAAAGAATCTCTATTTAACTTAAATTTTTTACTAGAAAATATGGCATTTGGGAATATTTTCTCTGAAATTTGCCGTTTAATGTTCATCAAATATTACTGCCAATGAATGGTTATCTGTTAATTATTTACAGTAAATATAATTCCTATGGCAGCCATAATAATACAATTTTAAATTATGTCAGAAAAAAATGCTAATTATAGTTTGGATAAGTCTCCTTGTTATTGTGTTAAATGAGATTAAAAGAATGATATGTTTTCAGTTCTAAGGTATTGGATGTCTTTCAATTTGGGTTAAAATGTTACAAACTTAGAGTGAAAAGAAAATGATCTAGTAAACCCAGAGGGAATTTACCTATGCTCACCACAATCCCACTTAATGCCCCAGTCTTCTAGAGTAATAGTACAGAGAACATTGAAATATTTGGGTCTATTCTTACCTATTTCTATCTCCTCACTTAGCAGAAAGTATAAAATCTAAAGCTACACAGAGAAATTGAAAATGGGGCCAACAAGAAAAATCATTCCGTTAGCGAGGCCGTACAACCCCTGCCATAAACCCTCACATGCCCCTGAGCAGTAAAACACATTTGATGTGATGCTTTTCATTTGTCTCTAGTGTTTATTTTATGAAGGTTTTTAAAAACATCTATCACAAATTTCAGACAGATAAATCTGAACCAGAGAATGAACTAAAGACAGCAGATGAAAATAGAAGATTAAAGAATCAGGCACTCCGAAGAGAAAATGTTGTAACATTTAAGTAGGAGTATTTTTCTGGAAACTGATACTGGCTATAGTTGGATGATTGGCTGGGTATGTGGAGAGAGGGTGAAAGAAAAGAAATTCCCATTTAATGCATCCCACAGAGACAGACTTATAGTGTCCATAATTCACCCAGGCAGAGGGGCTCTGACCTTTGCTCTTCTTTAAAGGAATTAAGACAATTAATGACTTTCGTGCCTATTATGACTATGGGCATTAGTAGTTCTTTGCCGTACACATTGTATTCTAGATTTCAGTGGATTACTGTGGATTTTTTTTTTTTATTTTAAAGCTATCGTATACTATTTAATCTGCTTCCCCAAATCCCACTTAAGAATCAAAGTGTGAACCCAGAGAGCATCTAACTTCTCTTATCTATGTGCTATAAAAAAAAATTTCATTCTAGAACAAATGCCTCATTCCCACAAGGGCAGGTAGTGCACAGAAGAAGAAAGGAATGGATTCTGCTACAACCGCAACAGCATACCTTGCTGTTCATTTTCCTGAACAGTGTTTAATATGCCTATATTGAACCATCAGGAGACTATGTTGGGTTTGTTGTAGGCATTTTGGATGATTTTTCAAAACACAATGTACTTGAAGGTTTGTAAAAGAAGGATGATGCTGCAGTGATCTTGTAGTGCTCTGGTCTGATCCCGCAGATAACAAGATTGTTTCACATTTGTTGGTGGCTGAACCGGAGAAGATCTATGCCATGCCTGACCCTACTGTCCCTGACAGCGACATCAAAGCCCTCACGACACTGTGTGACTTGGCCGACCGAGAGTTGGTGGTTATCATTGGATGGGCGAAGCATATTCCAGGTACATTCTCTGAAAAAAAAAGAAAAGAAAAGGTTACAGTTAATTCCCTATGTTGAATATGTACATTTAGGCAAATTCTAAATTTCCTCATTAGGATTTTTGTTGACCTTGACATTTGTTTTTTATTGAATATCCTACGTAATTTATAGCTTTGCTGATTTTCATAGAACCATAAACCTTTTTATATCTCTAACAACTTGAACTCTTGTTAATTATTTTTTTTCGTATGTGAAGGTACTATGCCTATATAAGATAAAGCAAATATAATTTTAAAAAGTTTTTTCTTTATGCCTTTCAAAATTCTGAGCTTTCTCCTAAGGAAGCACTTTCATTTTTTCTTTTCATATTAAAAAAAGGTTTTTGCCAACAGTAATGTAATGTACCGTTTGGTGTTTTTTTCTTTTAAGAATAATGCATTTTGTTGTTCATGGTGGTTATTTATGGTATGCTATTTATTCATATACTATTCATATTCAGAAGCTTTGCTTTGGTTTGCAATTTTATATTTACCATGAATTTATTCAGAAATTATGAAATGTTAAATTGACATCAGAAATTTTCTCATATGGTAACTTAAAAATAGAATTTTGAAATAGCCTATTACATTTCTTTTTTGATCTATCTTATAATAGCAAACCTATGCCTAATCATAAATTTTGGGAATTTGAGTAGTCTAGAATTATTTTTTTTGTTTATTTTAATTTCAATCTTCAAATAGCTTAAAAGCAAGTTTTTGAATGACGAGCAATGTTTTCCTGGTACAGTTAACTTATTTCTGTCTCCTTAAACTAGTTTGTCTTTAGACTTTGAATGCTACAGTAATTTCTTTAATCAAATTGATGGAAGTCCCTTTCCCAGCCCACACTGAAACCAATTTATTGGTCATGATACGCCAGCTATGTTGCTAACAGTCGTAACGAACTGTCAGGCGATATCGCAGTGAAGCTAATTTGAAGTCATTAGGTGTGCAGCGTTCAGGCGACAATTTGTTACAGTGGTTAGGAACACAGCTGACATTTCTGAATGGCTTTGTTCGGTGCTGTTCTAGAGGAGGCCAAGCAAATTGTAAACTAATTTAAACATCACTCTGTATTATACCAGCTACTTTGTCTTACACTGTTTGCTAATAAAGCACCCCAAATTAAGTCAAAACTGGTTCAATAGGTGAGATCGAGTGTGTTTCTCGGACTATACCTACACAAGGGTCACTGTACATACAACACGTAAGAGAATTGGATCATACAGATAGTTGACATTGCACTGGGATTGTATTCACATCTGTATGACTCTTAGGAAAAGCAAAAAGAAAAAGATATGCTCTAAGATACTGAGATGTTTGGGGATGGTAGTTGTGGTAATGCTCAGTCTGCTTGAATGATAAACTTATTGGGAAAGTGTAAGGAAGGGTTTTAGAGCCAAAAGAAACAAAATTAACATTTGTTCAAATATAGATTAATAAATATTAATATTAACATATGTTGATATGAAGTATGTATATTAAGTATATAAAGTATATATTCATTTATATTTCTGTATCTGATCATTTTATACATACTCATATATACATATACACACACACACACACACACACACATATATCTATATATTCACATATTTAAAGCATCATTATTCTTCATTATTCTAGCCCAGGGCTTCCCAGCCTTGACACTATTTATATTTGGAACCAGATTTCCTCTGTTGTGGGGGACTGTCCTGTTTGTGGTAGGGTGCTCAGCAGCATCTTTTGCTCCTGCCCACTCGCGCCCTTGAGCTGTGACACGCCAACATGCCTTCAGACATTGCCAGATGCCCTCCGGAGGGCAGAACTGTGCCTGTGAGAATTGTTGTTTTAACCCAGGAATCGGTTACCGTTACCCTTAAAATCACAGATAGGGAGGACTGGCGCGGAGGGGGGTGGAAACACATGCACAAGTTCAGAGGTGCGTCCACTGCCTCCGAAGCGTTTATTCGGCACTGCTTCCTGGAGGCGAGTCAAGATATTTTAGTGTCCTGGTTGGTTGCACTCGAAAGAACTGTTTCAAAATACTAATGATGATACCATTATTAATAACAATAGCCTGGAAGGCTACGTCACTGTGACTCCAAAACATCCATGACATCAGAGAACTCTCCCCAAGTTCTCCCTGGTTTAGGGGATTTGTTAGCTGATATTTTGATGCTGTACAGGCATCCCATAATAAGGACCAATAAAACTCAACACCTCCTCCCAACATGCTGTGGAAAGAAAAAGTCAGTAGTGAAATTTGTGGGTCCAATTGTGCATCGAAGTAGAAATGTCAGCTTACACAAGAACTTGTCCCTGTAAAGGGCTCTAGTGACTTTTGTGAAGGCAGTAACTTTAAATAACTATGAGTAACAGCAGTGCCAGTGGTGGAAACAATTACTATATGATTATGTGTTCAGTCTTAAACTGAGGCTTAGAATTGGTGAGGACTGATGTTATTCTCTCTAGAGAGGATGCCAGAGTAGGTCGCTGTGGAGTGATGACTCACAGCTCTGGCTTTTGTAGCACCCTGAGGGTGCTTTAAATGATTGCAAGGAATATCTTGGCTTTTCCGAAAGGGATTAGCAAAGCAAGAATTAACTGAAATTCTTTGTACCAGTTTAACAGTAAGTGTGCCACACGGCGTTTGAGTTAGAAGGATGCTCTTGCTTTGCGAGTGCTGCTGTACCCTGGGTTCCGGGACTTGGGCGCAGCAGCAATGTGCGGCGTGGGATGGGGTGCAAAGGCGAAGAGGAGAGAAGGATTAAAGTCACGTTTCTGCCTTGATGAAAGTCAAATCGAGTCCTTGGTGAAATGGCCCAGACCTGGTAACGGGGCTCAGTGCAGGAATTTTAGCCAAATCAGAACTGGACTTCGTGTCCTGGTCGTCACTTTAAAACTCTTTGTTTCCCAGCACGAGTGAAACCTTTTAATACACTAAAATGTAAGCCTTTGCTCTCTTTATTTATCCCGTTCTCAGTTTGTGTAATATCACACCCACATGTGGAGAGACACACACACACACACACACACTTTTTAAAAATCAAGTTTAGCATCTCTGATAAGATCAGCAATCTTTCTGCACTGTTGGGAATGTACTATTTTGTATATTTGCCTTTGCTACATAAAAAAGTGAAGAATTCCACAGAAAAATACATATGGAGTGGGCCTTTTTTATCAGTAAATAGAATTAGTTGACTTACTTTAATAAATCACACAAATGGAAAAGTGTGTTGTTATGAAACATGACCATACTTTATCTATGGGGGAAAAAAAAAAAAAGAGATCGCAAGGGCTTTGGAAAGTGCTTGACTTTCGCTGGAGGAGCATAAGGGCACGAGAACAGATGATGGGACCCTAATAGCCCTTTTTAAGAATGACAGGGCCCCGCCATTAGCATCCTTTTATATCCTTAGAAATTGCTCACGCCTCGCTTTTCTGGTTCCTATCTGCCTGACTCTTTTTTATTTCTCTTTCAATTTCGTCCGCGCTCGGATAAGCGCATGCTAACACAATATGATTGAGCTGTAAAATGGAATGCTGTCGCCTCTAATCTCTTTTATGTAGATACGGAGGCTCGGGACACTCCACTTCATTCTCTCGCCATTGTGGGCCATTTCCCGAATGGGCTGCCTGGCCGCGGAGTGGCCGTTGAACATCCCAGCTAGGTTTCACGGGGCGCGGGGAGGCGATGAGCTGCCCCACACTCCGATCTGTTACTGTTCTCGGCAGTTGATTAAAATATTATTATGGACTGTAACTTTGTTAGCAAAATGCAGGATGTGCTTAGTCAGATGGTGCTTAAAAAAGCATAACCCATATTAGCTGACCTATATAAGTGGCTTAAATATATTTATGGATCTCGCCAGAGAGTTTACTTTAAGAGAATAGGAAGGCGTTTGAACAATTAAGTGAACGAATGTGTTCTAGACAATTTTGTACTTTATCAAATGTGGCAAATTTTCAGGGAGGCCTGCTTATTTTTAACATGACAAATGAAATAATTACCTACTGAAGAGGGAGTACTCTTGTTCAAGTTTGGGGCCTCTTAGTCACATTTTTTAAATTGTGTCTATTGTAATGACAGCAAACAGAAAAGAACCCTTACAGTTTTGCTACATACAAGGTGAAAGCAGGAATATTAAGCCCTAAAAGAAAAGCACACTAGGAAAATGGTGTGATAAAAGTCTTTACGTTTAGTATGTTAGAAACGGAAATCTTAAGTATAGAAGCCAGTATTTTCCATTTATGCTGAAACATACTGGATGAAAATGTTAGTTGAAGAATATATCAAAAATTATTCATTGATTTGACATTTTAAAATTTTCTCAGCAGCATTCAGACTTTTCTAGAAATGACAGAAATCTCTAAAGAACATGGATAAACTAGTTCTACATTAGGATATAAATTTGTGGGAGAATAATTGTGAACATATATTGCTAATAACACTACTTAAAAGATATGTTTATTGTCCTAAAACATTTTATGTAGAGACCAGTTTTTATATATTATTTCTCAACCAAAGTTGTGGAAGATATGTTTTTTAAATTCCCATTGCTTATCTTAAATGGGTAGTACCATTAAAGGATTATGATATGTGCAAAAGCACCAAAACTGCAGTGGAAATAATTACTGCAAGATTAAAAATTCCATCTGTAAAAGAAAGTGTGTGTAAGTATGTGATTATGGCTTGAAGTGTAGGAAACAGGGCATCATTGATTAAGAGAGTTCTATATAAATAACACTACTCATTTTGGATTTCTTGATCGTATCATTGGTAGTTGATAAATTTTTATTGATGAGGTTTTTAATTTTTTTAAATTCATTTTAGAGAGAGGTAGGGAGGGAAGGGGGGTAAGAGAACGAGAGATTGATTTGCCATTCCACTTATTTATGTATCCATTGGTTGTTTCTTATATGTGTGTTGACTGGGGATTGAACCTGCAACCTTGGTGTATCATGAGGACATTCTAACCAACTGAGCTACCAGGCCAGG